TGCTGTTGATTGTCCTCTTTGTGAAAATGATGACGGACAAAGTAACAGGAACACTTAACCATTGTTCCTAGGGACAATGGTTAAGGGCCTGCAAGCTCTGGCCACAATATTTCCATCAACACCTGGCCTTATTAGTGTTCCCATTTAAAGAAACCTAAGAGTGAGTAGCTTACAGCTGATTATTGATTAGCTCCAGGTTCAAGACTCCGCGAGGCACATCTGAAAGGTGCTTCCTCAGAAATGTACTGACACATCAGTACATCACAAGACACATCACAGCCAGCTTGCCCTCTTGGGAGCCTTGTCCTGGAACTCGCTCTGTAGACCAGGCAGGCCTGGAACTCACAGAGATCTGCCTCTCTCTGCCTCCGGAGTGCTAGGATTAAAGGCATGCGCCACTATTCCCCGGCCTTGGCACCACTTTAAACAGCAAAATTACCAACCAAAAATACAAAAGTGCAAAAACTGTGATACTAGGTAGACCACAAAAAGGACACCTGATTGCATACCACCCCCAAAATTAGCCAGGGACAGGCATACCTGACAACTCCAATTATTCACTGTCCCCCATGTATCTGAGAATGAGCAAGAGCAAGCACACCCAACTATTAATTTAGGGGTTACAAACGCAGTTTGACAAGTGGACAGACTCACAGATGAGAACTGACTGTTCAACAAACGCTTATGTAGCGCCTAGCAGTGCCAGATCATATCCTAAGATTGGAATCTTCGGTGTAGGAACTGTGCCTATAGGTTCATGTTGCAAGTACGATCCCAGCTGGTGGCACTATTTGAGGGTAGGTGGTGGAAACTTTAGGAATTGGGACACACTTTTTCCTCTTTCCTGTCTGCTTCCTGGCCACCAGGATGTTAGAAGCTCAGCTCTCCAGCCAGATAACTATGGACTCTTCAGTAAACTTGGATTGTAAACTTGGAAAGCTTGCTTCTTCTCAAACTGTATTTTATCTATCAAGGATTAATCAAAGGGACAAAAAGTCTAGCCAACACAAAGACTTTGCAATAATCGTTTTAGTAAACCAGTTGGTGGTGCATGCCTTTAACCCCAGCACCTGAGAGGCAGAGGAAGATGGATCTCTGTGAGTTCAAGGCCAACCTGGTCTACAAACAGAGTTCCAGGACAGGCAGGAATGTTACACAGAGAAACCCTGTCTCAAAAACATCCCTCCCACAAAAAAAAAAAAAAAAAAAAAAAAAATTAATTTCATATCAGTCATGAGGAGTTATATGATTTTATTTTCTAAATGAAGACCCCAAGTTGCAGAACGGTTTGGCCACCTACCCAAGGTAGCTGGTAAGGAATCTGTGGGAACCAACACAGACTTCAGAATTCAGAAGAACCCAGGCTGCATCAGAGAAACCCAGACTACCTGGCTTGTTCTCGGGGACATTCCTAGGGGAAGGGACATGAGGGGACAGAAGCTATGAAGGCAAAGAGAGAAAACTCGTGATGAGAACACAAAGCAAAAGCAAATAAGGGGGCTTTTTAGAGTCAGGGTTTCTCTGTGTAGCCCTGGCTGTCCTGAAACTCGCTATATAGACCAGGCTTGCCTGTCCTTGCCTCCAAAGGCTGGGATTGAAGGTGTGCACCACCACCAATAAGGGGACAAAACAAAACCAAAAAGAAAGCTCACCTGCTGAGTCCCGGTTGATACAGGATAGTCTGTCTGTCTGTCTGTCTGTCTGTCTGTCTGTCTCTCTCTCTCTCTCACACACACACACACACACACACACACACACACACACACACACAATCAACCAGGGGCTGAAGAGACGGCTCAATGGTTAAGAACACTTGATGCTCTCAGACAGTCTGGGTTCAGTTCCCAGCACCCAGCATGGCTCACAACTGTCTGTCACTCTAGTTCCAGGGGATCAGATGCCCACAGAGCACATATGTATGCTGAAACATACACACATATACATTAAATAAATAAATCTTATTAAAAAGTAAACAAATAAAGATACCAAATGTCAAACAGACTGTAAATCCTGACTGACAGACAGACGGCATGTGGCACAATTTACTCAGAAATCTGAATCAATTCCCTTGCAAAAAATCAAATTTCACCATATCCCTGTGTCTAGTCTCTTATCTGCCAGCTCCACCATGACAAGCAGCCTCACTGGCCCTCCCTCCTCAGGCGTTCATGGGCACCTTTGCTGTTCTCTCTGGTGAGTACGTGCCTGTTGTGGCTCGCTCCCAAGCCTGGCCATGCCCAAGGAGTGGCGTGCCTTCTCCCTTACCTTTACGAAGGAATACGAGAGAGAGCAGTTCCTCTATCCACCACGTTCTCTCTAAAGGAGAGCAAAAACACTAAAGCAGGTAGGATTTCTGGGAAATGGCACATAGCTTAAAATACTAGCCAACATATCTCCCACAGTCAAAGTCCCTTCCAGAGACTAGTGACTTCCCCAGATTGCCACAACATGCCATCTCTGCTGCATGGTGAGGTTCAATAATACTTTCTATTTTGAACCCCCTGCTGTACCTCTGTGTGTATGTGTGTGCCTCTGTGTGTATGTGTGTGCCTCTGCGTGTGTGTGTAGAGGTGGGTATGCATTTGTGTATCTATACATGTGGAGGTCAGAGGATAGTCTGTTCCTTTGGTATCAAACACTATTTTTTGAGGCAGGGTCTCTCACTAGCCTGCCAAGTAAGCTCAACTGGCCCGCCTGCAAACCCCAGGGATCCTCCTGTCTCTACTGCCCCAGCACTGAGATTGCAAGCAGGTGCCACCCCCAGGGGGTGGGGTCCTGAGGATAAAACTCACAACATCCTGAATGATCTATCTTCTCAGCTATTTTATGCCACTAAGATCCTTTTCTGCCTGTAGTGCTGGGATTTTCGCTTCAGAACCTGATGGATGCCAGGCAAGTGTTTTACCCCTGAGCCACCCACAACCTTCCCCACACCGTTAATCTTGTGAGTCAGCACAAGCAAAAGGTGCCCATAAACCGTGAGGTACGACAGCATGTGAGGTCCTCATCTCAGCTGGTGGAGGCTGGGAAGGAAGTAACCACACAGCCTGCTCGCTGTGTCTGGGGGTGCGTTCAACAGCACCCCACATCTCTGTACTCAAGTCGTGTGACTGTGACTGGTTTCAAAGATTTGGCCTCCAAACAACCAGACATCCTTTTTAAGTTGGCGTTCCTTCCAAAGAGGAACACCAAGCATCTGTGTGCCTCACACAGGGCTGGGTCAGTGAGCCAACAATATGGATCCCAGGAAGGGGTGCTGCCCACACTGCTCAGGGCAGCCACTAGTGTCCATTGCTCAGAGGAAATGTCAAAGTGTGTTCAGAACAGGGGTCTAGGCACTCGGCTGGCAGGGGCCACCCAAGGACCAATGTGTACATATCACAGTGTCCTGGAGTCAGGGTAGAGTTCAAGTCTGGGAATGAGTGCATCAGAGCCATCAGAGCCCATAGGAGCTGCCTGGGCCAAGTTCAAATGGAGAGAGATGGGCCTGTGATATTTAATTCAAAACCCCACTACCACTGCATACCCAGGCTAGGCTTGCACACACACCAACCTTGCAGGAATATCTCAAATGGTACGGCAAGAAGGCAGACTCCAAGATTCACTTTCTCTTATCGGTGTGTTCTGCGGAAGAAACTCCTGGGCCTGTATGTTGCCTGGGAGCTGTGTGTGTGTGTGTGTGTTCTTAGTCATTCTGCACCTTATTCTTTCAGGTAAGGTCTCCTTACTGATTCCTGGGGCTCACCAGTTCGTCCAGGCTAGCAGGGCCATGAACTCTAGGGATCTGCCTGCCTCTGCCTCCCCAGCGCTGGAATTACAGACAGGTGTTACCACACCTAACTTTGTATCCCAGTTACAAAGATCCCAACTGTGCTAGAGATCCCAACTCAGCTCCTCATGCTTTCAAGCCCCTTAGGATTAACCCATCTCCTCATCTCCTTGCTGGGATCTCAAAAGGTCTTCTGGTCAACCCCTCTGTAGGAACAATACAGGTTCGATTACCCCTGCATACCCCAAACAGTAGCTTTGCTGTGCGCCGAGGTTCTTTATCCAGATCACCTTCTTATTCAGAACTGGAACAAGACAATGCAACCCCTCTCTCCCGAGACTCCAACCACAACCCCGGCCTAAAATGCCTGCCAGGTCAGAGCCCAGCTCAGCTGCTACAAAACACTCCCCAGTTTGCTCTGCTTTTGAAGAACTCAACTATTACATCAAACACAAAGGAAATACTACACACTAGTTGCTATAGAAACACACACAGGCACACACAGAACACCTATGCACACAAACAAGGGTGGGGGTAAGGGATGCCTTCCAACCATCAGTTCATTATCTCTGGCAGATACCACCAAGACATTTTTTTAAATTCCCCCACACACTTCTCTTTGAGCCTTCAAGTACATAAGGCCCTGAAACGTGAGAGTCCCTGGCCCGGCACAGGGCAAGCAAGGCAAGGTTTCAATGAAACACAAAAGCCAGCACAGACCTGAAGGGGAACAGGCGGCCCCCGACGACAAGGCAGCCAACTGCCAAGCTGTCATTTTGCTCGGCGGCTGAACAGAAGGCTCGAGTAATGACAACCACAAAACTCATTTAAAGTCTGAAAAGGTGACTAATGAGCTCATTCATGCTGGCTATAAATTATTCACTACAACACTGATCCCACTCAAGACAAACAGTAAAGTAAACTTTAAACACAGACCCGGCCAGCCTTCCAACGTGCGGCAAGTTTGGTCTGTAAGACTTCTCAGAATGACAGGGATACTTGTCCCTGTTGTCTATAGTCACATTCGTCTTCTGTTTACTTTTTTTTTTACTGCCTTTAATCAAGTTAAGCAGACGCAGCTGTTACACATTTATTTCTCTGCTGTATTTTTTTCATTAGTTATTACGAGCAATCATGAAGCCCTAAAAATAACAGCAAATTATATTCTCTAGAAACCAAAGGCTGACCTTAAAATGAAGCCCAGGTCTTCAGAAAGAATATTCATACGCACATGTTGGATGAGTGACCGCGCCACTCTTGGAGAGCTCTACAGTTTGCTTCTAAGTGGCCATTGGTCCTGGAGTGGACAGGTTGCCTTGAAACCTGATGCTGCAGACCCTGCTTCATTCCAGAGGTCAGGTTTGGGCTCAGGTTTTCAGGAAGACATTATCATCTTAAGCAAATAGATGAACCGTCTGCTGGCTTTTTCCAGCCCTGATAAAGAGCAGGTTCCTTCGAACTCACCACAGGGCTACAGATTGCTTTCGGTTTCCTGTTTAACATTAAGTAGAGAATTGTCGCTCTTCTGTTTTTACAAACCGAACTGTCTGCCGCCACCGCCGCTACTAAAAGCCTGATGACGGGGGGCTAAGTGGTCCCCCTTTCCCTTCGTTTATCCGACTATCATTTTCAAGACACGGTAGGAGTTTGGAGTTTCAAATCTGTCTGAGGGATTTCTCTTTAAGTCCCCACACAAGTACTTCATATTAGAGCCTGGTCAGAGATCTGAACGTGATGTAGTTTTAAACTGCTTTGGATCCTTGGAAAAGAAGCCACGGGAAAGACGCATGCTCAAAGAGGCGCAGGCGGAGGCTCTAGCTAATCAAAAGCGAAAACAGGAAAGTTAGTTGCTGGCTCACTGCGGAATGAATGAGAAACACAGACAGGACGTGAGTCCGCTCTACTCTGGGCCCCGGCCTCTCCCGGTCTTCATTTAAGGAAAATCTTTCATATTTTCAGCTTCTTGCATAAACTAATGAATACCTTGTCCACTGTTTCTGTTGTCTGAGACACAAAAAAAATATTTTTGTTTCATATGGAGAAAGGACAGTCTGGCAATATTGACAGGCAAAGGCCACTGCCACCCACCATTAGCAATCTGTGGGCCTTGTCGTGTTTATCACGGCTTTATCCATGTTTCTGGATCTACCAAGAATTATTAACTTTAAGCCCCTTCTCCCCCAGAGTTCTGGAAATTGTTTTGAGTCTCTTTTCTTTAGTTTTTGGTTAATTTTACTTCTTAGGTTTGCTTTGGGTTTTTTGACAGGCTCTTACTATGTAGACCAGGCTGGCCTCAAACTCCCAATGTAGATCAGGCTGGCCTTAAACTCACAGAGATCCACCTGTCTCTGCCTCTCCAGTGCTGGGATTGAAGGTGTGCACGGACACACACAGCTTCACAGAGCCGTTCTGTTCCCACGTGTGATACAATACTAGACTTTTAGTGTTGTTTTCTAAGTTTTTCTTTCTTATAAATAATTGGTTTTCTTTCATCACATTTATTACTTCATGTTTATGTGTGGGTGCATATGAGGACACGTGTGGAGGTCAGAGGGCACCATGTAGGACTTGGTTCTTCTTCCACTACATGGGTCCCAGGGATCAAACTCGGGTCATAGCAATTGGCAGCAAGCACCTTTATGAGATGAGCCATCTTGTTGACCGGTGGTGTAAGGCTTTTGAAAATCTAACATCACAATGCAAAACTCCAATTCCAGCCAAATAAATGGAGAGGTCTGAACAGGGTCCCGCTGGAGGGCCAGCTGCTCCACAGCTCTCCTCCCGGTGAGTCTCCGTGGAAGGGTGTGGGCGGGAACTAGACTTCGGAAGCAAGCCTCACCTGCCGTCTCCCCTAGCAGCACAGCTGGCAGAGACAATCCACCATTGGTGAGAAACCTGGAGTTGGTAGACTGTCTAAACACCACCCAACTCCTAGTTTCCCTGGGGTGAACCACGAACAATGTCAGTTTTGCCTGAAGACAGTTAGTGCTTAGGAACAACAGCCGTCAAAACAATGGCCAGCAAGTCCTCAAGGACGCCATCCAAGGAATCTCGGGCAGAGTGCTCCAGCTGCACGGCTCTCTGGGGTCCCTGCAGGCCGGGCACTGTGCCAGCAATCCTCCCTGCATTATTAATTCATCGTTTACTGCCCATCTTTCACAAGGAAGGTCCAGCCATCCCTGTGGACAGAGGACAGTCACCGAGGCTAAGAAGTCAAGTGACTTCTCATAGGTAGGGTGGAGTAAGATAAAAAGCTAAGACCCTGGCCTAGAGCTCAGCAGTCAAGACTGTTGGCCACTCTTCCGGAGGACCAGGCTTTGAACCCCAGTGCTCACACAGTAGCTCACACCCATCTTCACCTCTGATCCAGGGGAGCCAGTGCTTTCTTCTATCCTCAGTGGGCGTGGGAGCCACGTGGTGCACACAGACAAAATATTTAAAATAAATGTGGCTCCATGTTAGAACCCGAGTCCCTAGTGTGGTGTGGTGGGAACTGATGCAGAGCCAAGGACAGGGCTTTGCGGCACTCCTGAGGTCACTGGGGGCATTGCCCTGGGGGATTAAGGCCATTTTCCAGTGACTCCTGGATTACCTGTGTAATCTTAGTATTAGGAGGCTGAGGCAGGAGAATTGCATTGAGTCTGAGGGACTGTAGGATGAGTCTGTCTCAACACACACACACACACACACACACACACACACACACACACTCGCATATACCACCTCAAAACAAAACTATTACTACTGTTAGAAGAAAATGAAATCTACAAGCCCTGTGGGTAGGAAAATCCAGCCCCACCATCACTACAAAGGCTCTAAGATAACTAAAAATGAACCATCCTGATGGAAAACTCAATACAGAAGCCAACAGATCTCTGTGGTTAGAAGTCTGAGATGACTTTTCTGTTGCCTGTGGCCGGAGGTACCTTGACGAACACCCATACTGAGTTAGTGATGGATGGAGTCTCATTGCCTACCCATAGAAATTTCTACAATAAAACTTTTCAACAGAATAAAATAGAAAAACGACATGTGGACAGATTTAGTGACAAGACTTCCTAAGATTAAAATGGCTTAAGAGAAAAGACCCAAATTGCAAACTTTACCAAGCACTTTTAAGGTCTGCTCTAGTTAGTAAAGTGAGGCCATGCATGTAGAGTCCTGCAAGTAGATGGGGAACTATAAATGGAAAATTGAGGCTGGGCGGTGGTGGCGCACGCCTTTAATCCCAGCACTCGGGAGTCAGAGGCAGGCGGATCTCTGTGAGTTCGAGGGTCTATAAGAGCTAGTTCCAGGACAGGCTCCAAAACCACAGAGAAACCCTGTCTCAAAAAACCAAAATAGATAGATAGATAAATAGATAAATAAATAAATAAATGGGAAATTGATTGTAGGGAATCCATGGATATCGGAAGACATCTGTGCACTAACCAGAGGTGAGCATGACCCCTCACTGAGGTCTACAGTTTAACTGGCAGTGAGCTCATTCCTGGGGGGCAAGGGAGAACACAATGTCTCTCAGACAGGCACCCTGAAGCATACAGTCTAAGGCCAGTGCTCAAGAAGAAACGAGGAGAGCCACAAGGCTGTTCACTGAGTAGTTACTACATGACAGACACGGCGCTACACATTTTATCTGTTTCCTGTCAGAGAAAGCTCTCAGAGACTTTCTGTGTTTCAAACAAGTCACTGTACAAAAAAAAAAAAAAAAAAAAATCATCTTAAAAGTGCTATAAAAAAAGAAATTTTGCCAAAACTGACACCGTTTCCTTAAAAGCTTACATGGCATTAGCAATAATCCGTTACGATGCTTAATGTTTCTCTAAGCTATTATTGTTCAAACAACAACAAAATATCCCAACCAACCACGTCAGGGCAATGAACAAATTAGCTTCCTAGTTCTCCATGCAGAAAATAGTATTCCAAAATCAGGGTCTACGGAGAAATAATTAGAGTTCACAGTCCAGGAAGTGCACGAGAAAGCAACGCCGAAGCACATTACGGAGGTAATTAGGTAATAGCATGTTATTTTCTGTTTTTTTCAATATTTCAACTGTCAGGCCTTTAAGCATATACTTTTTTTTGTTTTCTTTTATCACTTGAAATAAGTGCTCACCCTTCCACTTTGCTGTGGTTTTTATTTGTTGTTTTGGGTTTTTGGTGCTGCACATAGCGCATTGAACCCAAGACCTGAGACGCTCTAGGAAGCCCTCCTCCACTGCCCCATACTTTCGTGTTTGTATTTTACACTCTTGACTTTTTGGTTTGTCGTTGTTTTTGTAAGAGCCAGCCATGATAAGCTAAATATGAACAGACCACCCAAAGGAAGTTCTTTACTTCCAACCATTACCACTTGCCAGTGTGGGACTCAGCCACTCTGGCAGGTGATAATGGTTGTTTAATAGAGGCCTGAGTCTCAGCAGTTTACCCTGAAGCAATACCTGGTGGCAGAAAGGACCATAAACTAAGCACCACCCAAGAACAGACCATCCAAAGGAAATGCCTAAGGTTCCAACCACTGTAGATAGGATCACCAGCCAGCACACACACACACCAGGTCACCCCTAGATAAATATCAGCCAATCAGGGGTCCTGAACCTCAGAAACCCCTCACCCCTACCTTTATTACTATAAAAAAAAAAAAAACTCTGAGCTCGAGGCTCTCTGTTTATTCCAATACGTTGGACATGTGGAGAGACCGAGTTTGCAGACTTGCATAAAGGTTCTTTTGCTTTTACATACAGGACTCAGTCTCCTTATTGGCTTTGGGAGACTTCACGGATTTGGGTATAATAGTTTTTTGTTTTGTTTTCTGAGACAGGGTCTTTCTGTGTAGCCCTGGCTTTCCTGGAAGTCTCTGTAGACCAACTAGGTTGGCCTCAAACTCAGAGATCTGCCTGCCTCCACTTCTCGGGTACCTGGATTAAAGGCCTATGCCACCACCAGCCAGTTTACACTCTTTCCTTAAAAAGCATCTCTCCAAGCTGAACTGATCTTGGGCCATACAAAGTCCACATCACTCAGGTGAAGTAAGAATTCTAGTTGGTCTCAATAATAAAAACCTAGAATTAGACATAGGGATAATGCTGAAGATCAGAGAAGCAGAGAGGCCAGTCAGAGAGAGTTTTTTTTACCTTTACCAATGCTCAGATGGAGGGGACGATCCTATCCACAGACTGCATCTCCAGGCTCCGTTTGTCTCCACCAAACCTCAGACTGCTATGGGCTCTTGTCTCCTCCTGCCTTATATTCCTCTCTCCACCCAGTCACACACTTCTGACTCCACCTCCCTAGTGCTGGGATTAAAGGCATAGGATCCCAAATGCTGGAATTGCCTTTGTGTGAACTCTGTTTCTCTTTTAGCATATTTAATCTTGTGTTGCCCACTGTGGCCTTTAACTCCTTCCGGCTGCTCCGGAATCCTGAGATTAAAGGTGTGTACCACCACTCCCTGGTCTTCAGCTCTGCATTCTGATCTTCAGGCAAACTTTATTTGTTGAAACATAAACAAAATAGCCCTACACTCAAGTCCCTACCTTGTGGAGGCTTGGATCTCCTGGCCTGTCCTCTTGAGCTATGTATGCCAAGAAGTTTTTGAAGTATATATAGTTTTTTTTTTTAACAGAGTCCTAGGAACAATGGGTTTTTTTTTTTTTGAGCTCTACATTTTTCTCTGCTCCCCCTCCCTGCCTCTCCCCACCCCCT